ATATATTGTTAAACTAATTGAGTTGGATGTAGATATTGTATAAGTTTTGCCTATTGCACCAACTATGTATTTTGGGTGGAATTTACAGTTTTGAGTAAAGGGGGAATGTTGTGTTTATGTACTTGTCAGGAGATGGCGCTGTAGTTCACATGATGTTACCTATAAAAGGTGTAGAGTAATAATGGAAGTGAGTGCACCTGCTGCCTAATCATTTAACTGCCGGCAGTGTGAATTGTTTGTGGGTTTGAATAAACCTTAAAGAAGTAAGAAACTTTCTTGTCTTGATTACCTGAACTCAGACATAACACATTCCAAAACACGGAAGTAGCGTAATGCCTTGCCGCGCCCACTTCCGCCCTCAGACTGTCGGGCTGGCGCTGTCGTCCTCAGACTGTTATGACGTAATGGTTCTGCGGTTCTGCAGTCAGACCTATCTCGATAATTCCGCAAATGACTGCAATTACAGATTTCGAACAGAGATGGCGACAAAGAGAAAAAACTGCGGAATGCAGCTTTAAACAGCAGTAGTAAATTGTAATTAACATGTATGTATCATATCTTTTAGGTATAGACGAATCCGGCGAAACTACCGGAAGTAAGCGGGCGCCATTACTGAGCTGTTGCTGGGTAGCGTTGTGCCATTGCCTCCTATTGTTTTATTTGCAACTTGCGTCCACTGGAATAAACAGCCCGCGATTTACGACTGTCACTAACGTTACAACTTTTATAATGTCGAGTGGGAAAACATGTTGGCATTTTGAAAAAAACATTGGATGCCAGGCAAAGGAGAAAATACTCTTGAATACCTTTAAAACAACAGAAGGGGCGCATTGGGGTAGTAACGTTAGTAACAGTACTGTTATGTCTGTTGTTAATGTTTGATTTGCTTGACTGTGACAGATTTTTTTTTAAATAAATTAAATTAAATATGCATTTTTTGCTATAATAACAATTATTTAATGACATAAGTAAAAAAATATATAATAAATATGTAATATAGTCCTCAGCAAAATCTCCTCTCTAGCTATTTTTTCTATTCAATTAACATGCTATGGTCATTCAATGGCTTTCCTGAGCTAAATGTAACGTTATGTGACATAATTGTTCTCCTGCTGTTATATTGACCTCTTTCCTTGGTTTAAAAACACTAATTGGTCGATATTATGTATACTTTCTAGCTGTACCTTACCCTTGCCTTTTGCAATGTGAAAATGAGATAAATAATGGACACAAATGAAAAACATGAATTCGTTTATTTGATGTCATTCATTTATTTATTGTTGCCAAATGGACAGATCTTTTTATAATTTCCTCGTTAGCTAACGTTAGCCTAGCTAGCTTGCCAAGCTATTTTCATAAATAATCTGTAAGATCGTTTGTACCTTCATCTGTGACTGGAGGCCACTGTCTAACATCATCAACCCAACAAGTCATTCTGCCTGGCTGTAGCTGTCATCGAGGGTGCGTTATCACGGAGGTTTGTTTACATACCGCTAACAGCTCAGTAATGGCGTCGCCACAAGATGGCAGTACGGTGGCCGAGACAGCTCAACGCGCTGCAACTGAAGCAAACACATACAAATAGAGAAAAACGCGTGCAAATAGAAAAAAACGCATGCAAATAGAAAAACACGCGTGCAAATAGAAAAAAACACCTGCAAATTAAAAAAAACATCTTCATCAGTTTCACAACACACGTGTGCTCCAAATAAGGAAACGCGCTGCAAAAGTTCACAACACAACCAAATACAGAAAACACGCTGCAAATAACACAGACCACAACGGAAATGTTTCCAGGGGAACCAAATAAGTGACGGACCCGGCCGAGACGTGCTTATTGCTCGTGAGCTTCCCTATGCCATACTCCCTTCGAAGGGCAGATTGCAGAGCCCTTTTGGAGTGAGCAAGGCTCTAGTGTGCTGTTAGGCAGCCGTGTGGACCGCACTTGATGAAGGGAGCAACTAAAGACAACGTGGGATGTTCCCATGACAACGCAGCACGGCGTCCATCAGCTGGTCTTACGACAGAAATATGATGCTGTTAACATAACGGATGCAAATACATTTTTATTTTTAGTTTACAAAAAAAGCTTTTAAAATATGCGTTATATATCTGTGTCTCAACTTTAAAATGTTGGACCCTACATTACCTAACATTTCTTACGAAACTTTTCTTTATGAAAATGTAATAACATGAAACAATTTGTACAGTGTAACTGGTGTATAGATAAATATCTTTCCTTCATGATTTTCTTCTTTATCTTTTTTATTTATTTATTTTAGTTTCCAGCTCATTGTTCTTTTCTCATTTGTATTCTGATGACATTGAACAAATTGTTAATACATTTTGTACATTGTATACAAGTTGTATGTCATAAAAAATGTAATTTCTGTATGTTTTGCACAAACAAATAAATAAACAAACAAATAAATAAAGTATAATGTTAAGCTGTAAGCACCATCACGCATAGATTTATGGATATCTATGCCAGCACGTCCCAGCCGGGTTCGTCACTTATTTGGTTCCCCTGGAAACATTTCCGTTGTGCTCTGTGTTATTTGCAGCGCGTTTATGTATTTGGTGGTGTTGTGAGTATTTGGAGCACACGTGTGTTGTGAAACGGATGAAGATGTTTTCTTAATTTGCAGGTGTTTTTTTTTATTTGCACGCGTTTTTTTCTATTTGCATGCGTTTTTTTCTATTTGCATGCGTTTTATTTTATTTGCATGTGTTTTGTTTTATTTGCACGCGTTGTTTTCTATTTGCATGCGTTTTCTTCAGTTGCAGCGCGTTGAGCTCTCTCGGCCACCGTATGGCAGCCTACACAGAACGCTCGTCGGATTCGTCTATATGTAACATCATTATAGTGAAGGATTTATTTTGAACGGTGAATAGAGGGAATGCATTAACGTCACTTCCCCGCCGGAACACGCCCCCCTCAGCGGAACTGAGTGGCAGAAGAGCTGCTGCGTGACTGGAGTTAATAGGGGAAACTGCGTTAACGCGAGTAAAACAAACTATTATCAGCTTAAACTAAAAGTTGGACTCGATATAGTGTTCCTTACAACTTATCAAAGATCCAGTGATCCATGGATATTGACATGCAGCCAGGAATCGTGTTTCCTGACATTTATATGTGCCTGATTTCGACGCCGGGGAAATAAATGAAGACAATTTGCCTGTAAACGTTTTATATAAATACAATATAGATAGGTCTAAATCCGAGTGATCACTTACATTAATGTTATACTGTATATCAGTGGTTCTCAAACTTTTTCGGTCATTCCCCACTTTGGACAAGGGGGAATTTTCAAGCCCCACCTGCCCCCATCGCCCCGACACAATGCTAATGAAATACGTAACAAGCTTAAAATGTTCCAATTTATTGAAGTAACAAGTAATATCAGTATAGTAACCAGTTGTATCTAAATACAAACTAACAATCTACATCAAATAACAGCAAGTTCAAAAATAAAGAAAATGAAGTGCATCTGTGTCATAACTTGCATGAAATTCAAAAATAGAGAAAATAAAAGTGCCTCAAAAATAGAAAAGAAATAAAAGTGCCACTTTGCAATCTGTTAAAAAAAGAAAAGAAGAGAAATCCATTTGGCAAGACAGGTCTATTTATCCCTGCATTAGTGACTGCAATGAGCCTGTTTTGCATTGCACAATTTCTCAAAGCAGGGTTGCAGGCTTGATACTGCCACTCTCAAATCATGTTCAATGTTCAGAAAAATGTCATGTCTTGTCGTAAGCCACAACATAATGACGTCACATATTTTCCAACCCAGCCATCAGCCCCCAGTTACGCATGAAACAGCTTCCAGCGCGCCTGGCTACCCATCGGCGCGAAACATAGGCTACATATCTATGGGCGCAAAAGTTTGTTCCGCTACAATTAATATGCCGACGTCACGTCAATCATTATTTTGGGGGTGGGGAATTCCTGTTACTTGTTGTCGCCCCCGGGGGTGATCGGTCTAATAAGCAGCAACACACAGCTATAAGGACGGTTTGCTCTCACACGCGCTGCATTAATAGTCAAACACACACACATACACGCGCAGTCACTCTCTACTCTAGTGCGCGGTCTTGCTCCAGATTCCGGGAGATTGGATCTCATTTGCGGGCGTCAAGGAGCCGCTATCAATATGCGGGAGACTCCCGGAACTTCCGGGACATTTGGGATGTCTGGATAAAGATATAAAGGCATAAAAAGGAACATTTCCGTTTGGCGCGCCCCACCTGTCACGTCTCTATTCCCCACCAGTGGGGCGCGCCCCACACTTTGAGAACCGCTGCTGTATATCATCATATCATCCAGCCCTAAAACTTGTATAGTTTTTTGTCAGTGTTTATTTAAAAACATCCAATTATGCAGAATATAGTCTGTTCTGTAGCTTTTTGCAGTCTGTAAAAATATACAGTACCTCAGATTTCTGGTCAAATCTAGTTGTACAGTCAATCGCAAAGCTCTTTCCCGTTTTAGATGTGTTTTGTGTGATTTTCACGGCATTCACGCTGAAAACAAATGCTGCCGCTCAGTCTTTTTGCCACTTGTGGGCGTGACCGCATTCACTCCGGCCGACGGTGACGTCAGGCGCATACCCTCTATTATGAAGAAATCTGGAGTCAACACATGGTCGTATAACGCAATACGAAGCTGCTTTCTTTTCCCTTTTTAAACGTCGGGAAAGATCAGCCCTCATTAGTTCTGGTAACAGCTCTGCTGATGAAGAATGGGAAGTGAAGTTCGTGATTAGTTCTGTTTTTCCAACACTTATATATATTTTTTCCCGTACTCTTTACTATTTCTGACTCGAAGGATAAATGAATGTTCGCTTTGACTCGCTGAAACTCTTCAGTTAATCCACAGGTTTTTTATGCAACTGGGTCACGTGATATCTGACACACACACACACACATACACATACACAGGTAGAACAGGTGTTACAGTCTCGAGCCTCCTTCAGGAAGTGAAAGTAAGTTAAAACTTCATGAGAAGTCGCCGTTTTGGAGATACAATGACTTTCATAAATGTCACACTTCACGGTCAGTATTTGCTTCTGATATCATGTCATATTATGTAGCCTATTTATATTATTATCACACGTGTGCCGTTAGCTCCGTGTATCTTCATCTCGTTTGTTGGCTCGGTTTTGTTTGCAAAAGAGAATAGCCACTAAACCTCCTTTCTTTTTTCCCTTTTCTGTAAGAAATAAAGCTTGATTTATTATTTTCCCATTCATGTATACGAAATGAGTTCATGATGTTCAAGTTTATTTGTCATGGGCATAAAGTTAGAGACATATTGTACATTGTAACGCTCGTGGTGAGTCAATACAAACCTGTCGTTTGTTAATTTGTAAATTGTCTCTTTTATTGTCATTTTTTGTATTTAATATTTAATCAGCACAACATTCATGGCAGGCCTAATGTACAGTACAATTGTACAATTGTAATCTATATAGGCCTATATGAGTCCAAATCAAAATGTATTATCTTTTATTAGAAAATGTTATATTAAGCAAAGACTCTGCTTAATATCTGCTAAAGATGGTCCTGACTATGGTTCTGCTGATCTTGCATGTCATCTTAATCTAACCCTAACCCTACCAGTCTAATACTCTATAACACTCTAGTGAGGTGTAGCGTTACTCAAAGTCAACAGGGTGTGTTAAAGGGACCATCAAGACAAAGTGAAACCACGTTCCCTTCAGCAGGAATAATTTGTTTTTAAATCACATCTTTAACACACAGAGATACAAGGTATTGTGTCTCTATATTCTCTGTCTGCTTTAAAGTCTTTTAAAAACCTCCCTGTTTTCTTAAGTATGTTGACTCTTTTCTTCGGTTGGTTTTACTCGTTTATATTTGAGTCTGATACTGGTTTGCTACTCCAGTTTTATGGTTGCTCTTAGCTATGTTGCTCTTATTTTTTGGTTTTATTTTTTGTTATGCATATTATATCTTCTTCAAATCGTGTTGTTCTGTAAAGCACTTTGGTCAGCCTAGTGGCTGTTGTAAATGTGCTATATAAATAAAATTGAACTTGAACTATAAAAAAATATTTAAGACTACAACACATTAAAAGCTAAGCATAAATGTAACACCAGATATGAGGTCAAAGCAAACAGGTTTCCCGAAACGGCAGCAACTTTTGCGCATACGACTGCCTTAATGAGTTTACTTTAAATAGTTTCATCATTAGAAGGTCTTCTTTCTGTCGCTAGAAGAGGCTAAACTTCAGCCCGTCCTGCCTCACGTCAGTGAGTGAAGAACATAATGTTGCTCGTACGTGTTAGGCACGTTATCATCATGCTGAAGCGTGCTTTTCTCCTCTTCTCGGAGAGTGTAGTCAAAACATCCCGTACTGTGGGTTTCTGAGACGTCGATGTCGTGATATTCAGATGATGTGTATTTGAAACCGATAGATCGTAAGGTAATGATGTATTTTTAGCCGGCAAGTATTCAGTGAAGGGAATGATGTCTATGAGTGTGTTTTGTCCATGTTTTTAGTTCTAATATTCCAACCGACAGCCAGCCGAAGTTTTGGACAGACATGATAACATGTTTAACCCTAACCCTAAACCCTAACCATGTGTGATTTTTGGGTAATTATAAAACATGCTGGAGAATTTAGAAATGCTTTTTGCGTAGTTCATTATACTTGTTTTACAAACTGACATGTTTGGTTTGTCAAAAACGTTGCATTCAGCTGTCGCAAGTAGGTTTCGATGCACAAAGTTGTTTTTGTTTCCTATAACAAAATGTTTTTTATTTAAACCCATGAAAATGCAGGTCCTGTTGTAAATAATAGTGAGAAATCACTTTTTAAAACTGTTGTTCAATTATTAACCCGTAGCAGATTTTGACTCATACCAAATTAGTTTGTATAGTATGTGTGTGAAGTGAAATACATGTTCTGACTGTAAACATTACTATTGCTGTAAACGTCACAGAGGAATATGTGACAACACTGTAAAACACAATGAATTTAGCATAATGATTTATGAGTTGGTCAGGCCTGACAAGCCCATATCTGGTGATTTGATCAACCTGAGACCTCTTCTTCTCTTCTTCATTCTCATCTTCAGAGTCTTTAACACGTCCAGTGTTGTGAGAAGAACAGCAGCACATGAGCTTCTAAACAGAAATGTGTCTTGATGGGCAGTTTAAGGTGTAAAAGACCAAAGAGAGGTTTCCTTTCACATCCTGAAGTTATCAAGTTTTGTTTATGCAATAATGTTTTCAGATTTAGATTCTGCCCTCATGATGAACAATCAATGGTGAAACATTTATCTCACGCACAATAAACCTATGAATGTTGGTTTCTTTTCTATGTATTGTGGACTGTCATATATGTGAATGTGTGTGCCCGCTGGGCATCCGTAGTGGTGTTGTGCAACGAGAGTGAGGAGGACGATAAAAATACTGGCATCTGAGTAACAGTTCCGAGTCCTCTCGTCAATGTAGAACTTAGCGTGGACGAGGTGGAGAACACAAGCTACTGCAGTCTGACTCTAAACTCTTCTGTTTTATTTTCCTCTCTTAGAGTTTCTCTAGCAAAGCCTGACCATCACACACATCGTTTGACTAAATCAGATGCACTTTTTGCATGAGGTTTGAAGAAAAAAGGTCATTTATTATTATTTTACTTAGTGCAATTATCTTCTGCGCATTTATAAAGTAGAAATTATGGCTATATTGTCTTGTTTTCTGTGTTTCTATATATAGGCCAGGTGTCAGTTCCTCATTATGGAGAAAAGAGAGAGAGTTTCATCTGAAATGATGCAGGAGACTCAAAGATCTTCATCTCCAGAACCCAGCTGTGTGTCTCTGAAGAGTGATGGATCCCTACATCATCCTCCTGACCCCAGTGATGAACCAGTGACCTCTGACCTCAGTGATGAACCAGTGACCTCTGACCTCAGTGATAAACCAGTGACCTCTGACCTCAGTGATGAACCAGTGACCTCTGACCTCAGTGATAAACCAGTGACCTCTGACCTCAGTGATAAACCAGTGACCTCTGACCTCAGTGATAAACCAGTGACCTCTGACCTCAGTGATGAACCAGTGACCTCTGACCTCAGGTGAGACTCTATCCAGTATTAGAGTCAATACTGGACGGGTCGCGGGAATGGGGTTGTTTCATTAATAATTTTATTATTAGGGTTTTTGTTGTTGACAATTTTCAATATGGTTTCTGATCGCATCACCGCACAGATTACAGCGCTCATTAAAGTGCGTATGTCAGGTTAAATTTGTAATTATGATTAACACAAAATAGTTAGGGGAAATACACGTTTGACAAGTTGTTGTATTGTTTTGTATGATTTTCGATACCTAAAGGCAGAATATAAGATGAAAAAGTTCGTTATTTTCAGTACTCACTTAAAACTGCTCCTCCGCCCAAACGGATCGCTTGACGTCATAAGAGGGAGACGTCTCCCCAGGTCGCTGAGAAAGTGAGTCTGTGAGCTGTGTTGATAATTGTACGAGTGATAGAGCGAGAGAATTAGTGATTAGGACATTTATTTATTTAGTTAGCTATTTAAGTTAGGTAGTTAGTTAGGTATACGCAGGCGTATTTTCTCAATGGTGAAATACTGCGTTTGTGCTGGGTGCTAAAACACCGTTAAAACCGGTCACAGAGTCCACTTTTTCCCAAAAAGCAGGTCTGTGTTCCGTGCCTGGGTCAACTTTGTTCGGACCAAACGCGCTGACTTCAGTGCTGCTTCGGTATCCAAGACTTCGGTCATTTGCAGCGCACATTTCTTCCAGTTTTTATGTTTCCACTTGTAGAGACTTTAAGGATGAACCAAACACAAATTAATCTTTCTAATCTCTCATGGGATTCATTCAAATGTGATTCAGCATTTCGGATCTGAATACCACATTCCAAAGTCACAAGACTGGCTCCAAATTGTCTAGAAAACCCCCCAGAGAAGACTTTTATGGCATCAGAGATAAGCCTAAACAGGAAGAATGTGTCACTGTTTTCATCCTTAAGCAAGACAAAGCTGCTCAGAAATGGTGAAACGAGGCCTGACCACCAAGGGGCCTGACCACCTTTGACCTCCCTCAGCATCACCACTGCTGAGCAGGACAGCGATGTAAAACAGACCACGCTTTCATTGAACGTGAGAGACTTACACAGACTTTACATATCAAACCCATTAAAACTCACGCAGAACAATGCTCAGTGGACTTAATCAAACATCATAATTCTTGTTGTTCCTACAATTCATGTTTGTATTATGCGTAGATCACATATAAATCATGTAATTGTGATATAACTGTGTGTATGGATGAAAAAGTATCGTGCTTCCAATCAAAAGAATCGTATGCCCTTAATTCAAAAGGTGGCTTGTTTGAAATCTGTGTAAAATGTTTTGTATGATTATAATAATCTATAATGTTTAAACTGGGGTCTCTTGTCCTCTGCTAAGTGCTGGAACCCAAGCAGATCCCAGATAACGATAAGTAGGAACGATCCACCTCCTAAAATGATGCCATTGTCTCATTGATCAGAATTCTCCAAAAGAGGTTGGACTAACATTTAAGTTAAAGACCCGAACAAAGGAGTTAGAGTTGAAGAAAAAGAAATTCGGTTCAGAGAGCAGTTCGGGGTTGCCGTTCGGTTTTAAGTTCGGTTCGGTGTTGAACTAAGTTTGCGCCTCTCTCTAGCAACAGCAAGAGAGTGTTCCTGTTCGTGCTTCTCTCTAAATACACCAAAGAGCGTGTTCGCACGCTTCTACATCGACCAGACCAAATTAGACCCGCAGACAAATAACCCATCAAGATCGGGGTTGAAACAGCTCATTCAAGCCATCTAACTCGTCTTACTTTCATTTCTTCCTTTATTTTCTTTTTTTCATAAAAGTCTCGGTGCAAAGTTAAGTTGCTGCAAAGTTCGTTTAAACGTCTCTCCTGCAACGCGCTTCGAACTGTAAAGACTCTTATTCGCCTGCCAATCACACGTGACCGGCAGTTCAGAAACTTCCATCCAGGCACTTCAAGGACAACCAGCCACACGGACCCGGTCGGGAAACCCCTTTGACGAAGCACCGCAAAAAGGGAACTCCCTAAGCAACGCAAAGACAAGCATGTAGCAGCTACTCCAGACTCTAACTAACTGGTGCTTTAAATGTAAATTGAATAACCTGTCTAAGAAACGAAGGTTTAAATTAATGCTTGGTGGTTCGTTCAGGTCATGTCTTACAAAGTGTATCTCACTCTGAAAACTCACTCTCTCTCTCTCTCTCTTCCTCTGCGCCTTGTATGAATGCGTGTGTGTGATTGTGTTTAGACCTTAGTTTTATGTGTTTAGAATAGTTAATAAAGTCGTCAATATATTTGAAAAGATATTTGCCTTGTGTTGTGCTTGCACATTTAATGTCTTGTACTGTCGATCTAAAGTTACCTTGCTAATACATAGTGTTTCACTATAGATTGGATATTCATATCTGTTGCCAAGGTTATAATTATGTAGCCTGGTTCTACCAGACTCTCGTACATTTCATTTGTACAGAGAGTCTGGCCTCGCTCCATTGAGAAACGTTTACTTCCTTGTAGGCGGGTTCTCTGTTAAAGTTCAAAACTATTGGATCTGCCCAGAGTCACTCAGGATCTGCCATAGCCAATCGCTAACGTGTGGTCGTGACGTATGTCATGCGCCGAAACCGGCTGGAAACAACAAGTCCGAATTCCATATTCATAAATCTAAATATCTAAATGCTAAACCTCTCTTTCTTATATTTGTGAAAGAATTTAAAAAATACCTCTTTTCAATTAAGTTGTCTGAGAACAAAAAAAAGCCTTAAAAACATTATCTGTTTGTAATTATTTTCCTTTTTTCAGTGTCATGTAATTCTCTTAACTTGTTCATGTTTATTTTATATTATCCCCCTACTGTTTTATTTTTGTTTTGTTTTTATTATTATTTTTTGTTTGTTTTTGTATTATGTTTTCTGTTATTACTTGTGTATTGTTTTAAGCAATAAAAAAAAACAAGTCCGAATGATCAGAGGATTATGTTTAGAATAAGATGTCTGTCAACGAGAGCTGCATGTTTTGTTCATCGAATTTAAGAGTTCAAGGAACAATTCTAAATTCTAAATGTATATTTGACACTAATGGTGCGTTCACACCGGACGCGAATAGCGCGTCAGGCGCGAGTGATTTCAATGTTAAGTCAATGCAAAGACGCGTTACGCGCGTAAAAAATTCCTGCGGCGCGAATGAGGCGTAGAGCGCGGCGCGGTAGACGCGAATACGCCTCATTCGCGCGTCAAGTTCGCGCGAATGGCGCGAATTGAGCGTCTGGCGCGTTAAGCGCGTTACGCGCGAATGATTTAGTTAGTGCTATTTGTGCATTCACGCGTTTGACGCGAATTCGCGTCTGCCGCCCGAGTTGAAAAATCTGAACTTCTGCGTCAATTCGCGCCGCGTTAACCAATCAGGAGCCTAGCTGCTTGCTGCTGTCACGTGGTGAAGTATCTGGATGCTTCAATAAATTATTTTGTAATATATGACTGTGGTTCTAATGCACAACTAAGCAAATATTTTATCACATAAAACTTGATTTCAATATATGAGACATATTCATTTTGCATTGAATGCTATTTATTCCATATCTAGATTATATGAAATATTATTATAATGTAAAGACAACCAACATATAAGTTCGTGTCTGGACAGTGATGTGTGAGAGAGAGAGAAAAATCACAGGACAGATTAATCACTTTTGGAGGCTGGCTTCATTTATTATCAAAACAAAAATAAATGACAGATTAGGTGGATGCGGGCGAGGGTGAACCTCGCGCCGGGCTGTAGAGCGCGGGCTCGACAGGCATAGCTAGACCACTCGAGGCCGAGGGCTTATACGGCCTACGCTGTCCTCATCAGCGTCCTCACCATTAGGTCCACCAAACCTAGCTCCTGGAGCAAATTGTGAAACTCCTGAAACCCTCCGGAGGTTCTGGTGGACCCGAGTACAGCGACGATGTCCCCTACGGAGCTGCTTCTGCTCTCCAGAGCATATACGAGCGGTGACTCTCTCGAATAATGCTAATGCTAATGCTCGATAAACATCTAAAAAGATGGCCGCCAACGGGTTTCGAAACTTTCGCCTCCGGATTTCGCCTCTGACGCGCGTAAATTTCGCTTCAAACTTTTGTTTTTACGCGCGTCAATTTCGCCATTGACACGCGAATTAACACAAAGTGGTCAAGCGTCAAACTAGACGCGGTAGACGCGAATTTGACGCGCTATTCGCGTCCGGTGTGAACGCACAGTAAGGACAGTGATGTATTCAGTCAACTGTCGAAGCTGGGTGTAATCATTAACAATACGCCGCTGCGGTCGTTTCGGATCTGCCGCAAATGCTGTACAGTGATCATCGTGCACGCCGAGCTGCCCAGCACCAACTCCTAACCTTTCTGCCTCCCTCACTTGGTCCTCCATTAGTGCAACAAGAGGAGACGACAACAACTATCGGCTTTGCATCCTATCGTTCGCCTTAGCTAACTCATTCACCACTAGCGGAGTGAGCTGGAAAATTAAACTTTTCCCGAACCCCGTGGGGAGGAGGGCCACAACATCATGGCCACCAACAACACTTAGCAAACATTGATCTTGCTCCGGCTTTAACTTCTGGATATTCGGCAGTTTTGCAACAACGGACCGAATAGATTTTCTCACGTCTTTCTCCGCTGCCATTACTGAACTCCAACTCAAACTGACACGCTACATCAACGTCATCGTTCTCAGCCACTCCCTCTGTTCGCTGATTGGACCGGTAAAAAAATTATTTCTGGAAACCAAAGTCTACAGCACAATCCCAGACGTAGTACTGAAGGAAAATAAAATTGAGCGGAAGTGCGTAGGAGGGCGGAGCCAGGCTAATAATTATGGCCCGTTCAAATGAACTCTAAACGAGTCATTTGCTCGGTTCCATAGTGATTCGGTCAAGATTCATTGCAAATCGATGAATCATTCCTTTTGAGCTAAATTGGCCTTCCGGCCCCCCTTAAATACATTTTATGTATATTATTATTGTGTGATTCGTTACATAATTGGTGGAGAGAAT